TGTGTGTGTGTGTGTGTGTGTGTGTGTGTGTACACTTGCATATTGCTCTGGGTGTTTCCTCCTTGCCTTTCTAACAGGAAGCTGATGTGGAGTTCAACTGAGGACAGGGAAAAGGCCTTTTATTTCCACTGTGAATCATTTCAGAGAGGGGGTGGGGGAATTGGGAGGAGGAAAAAAAAAGGAGTCCAGGACGCTGCTTGGAATTAACCCTCTCCATTCTGACCTTCAGATTCAAGTTTTCTTTCACCCCATTGTTTCATTTTGCTCGTTTTTTTTCCCCCATCTAATTTCTATCGAATGAGATTGTAGAGAAAAACAGTGGATTTATTTAAAGAGAAGGTCGAGGTGGAAAGCAAACGAAGCAGAGCTCCTTGGTTCTTCCGGTTCTCCTCGCAGCAGAAAGAGGCCACCTGCGTTTTTATATAACCGGGAGGCGAAGTGATGCGAAAACACAAAACACGAGCCGCCCTCGTTGTACTTTCTGTGCGAGAAAGGTAACGGCACCATAAAAGTCAAAGTACTTTTAGAGCAGAGGTCTGCAAACTGTGGCTCTGGGGCCACACGTGTCTCCTCTGCAACAGATATTTGTCGTTCCGACTAAAAGTAGTACGGTCTTGAATAACACAAAGTGCTAGTTTCAGAGGTTTTCTGTTCTGTTTCATGTTATTCTGTAAATTAAACAAAAGTGATCAGTTTGAGATTGTAGCTCGTTGTCAGTTTTTTATTTGACTTTTTGCCAATTTAGAAATTTGTTTTAACAGAGTTTATTCAATCTGCTGAGGGGAAACTTTCTTATATTAAAACAGAAAAGTTGAAATAAACACAGGTCAGGAAATTAATACATTCTAACCTGGTCTTTTCTTTTTAGATTCACTTAATTTTTTAGATGAAGTTATGTTTTACTTAAGTAATAAATATAGTAAAAACTCATAAGGTGCGTAGTTTGGTGTGGGAATGAACTTTGTCCTAACATGTAGAAATACCAAACTTTAATTTTATAATACAACATATTATATTTCTTTAGTATTTATATAATGCTAAACAAGTTGCATTATATTTATTTTTAGTATGTTCTGTGGCTCTGAGTCTGAGCGTATTTTGTTTATTGGGAGAACGAGCAGAAATGGCTCCTTTTGACTTGAAGTGCTGCAGATCAGTGTTTTATGCATGTTTAATTCATGAAACAGCATGACATAATCTCATCGCTTTTGCTCATTTTACAGTAATGAGTGAAACTCGTGAACTAAATAAAGCTGAATTTTCTGACCCGGCACATTTTTTTATGTATTTAAAACAAATCTCTAAGGTGAGACAGACATATCTGAGTAGGGACGACGTGGAGGACGCAGTCTGGTGTTTTTATGAACTGCTCTTGAATTCTTTGCCTTTGCTCGCCGTGTGAAAACTGCTCACTCACCAGCTCCCAGCAGCAGAACCGAACCGTTTTTATTTATGCTTCAAAATCCTCAAAAAGCAGCAAATCTTTCGGCTTTTTTTGGTTCTTTACACACCTGTTTTTAAATAAAACAACGTATCTCTTATTCAACGTGTGTGAAGTACTTCTAAACAAAAATTAACTTGTGGGTAAAGTGAAGATCTGAATAAATCTGGTCTGGGTCCAAACAGCCGAAGTGTTTCAGTAAGAATGTCCTGTTCCAGCTCGTGTCGGCACACAGTGTGGGAGAGCGGCACGCTGCGAACCAACTCTCCTAATGAATCACTGATATATTTTACAACTTCAGAGTGACGGTGTTTCACATCCCTGCTCCATTATAATAATTTTTTTTTCTGCTTTGTCTTTCCGATGCAGATGATGATCTGGACGCTGCGTAGAGGCTCTGGAAAGCAGGTGAGCACTGAGCATTTTCAGGACAACTTTAATTTCTTTGTTTTGTGTCAGTACGGTAGTAAAAAAAAAACTGAAAATATATTTAACTCCAGATCTATCTGCTATGAAAATTTAATTGGCAGCAAAGCAAAATATGAGATATTTTTAATGTTTGAGGATTTATCCAAAGTTTGTCTTGGAGCAGAGCTGTGACATTTCCACACAGAGAGCCCGTTTTGTTCTTTCTGCAGTCACAAATTTGATTTAATTAGAAAAAAAGTAAATCTGTCCTTGAATAAAAAAAATTGCTTATTGATTATTTTTATCAAGATGCATTGACTATTTTCAGTCAAAAATCATCTGACTTTACATTTAACAAGTTTAAGTAGTTGATCAAATACTCAAATATTTTTTTCCCAGTCTGTCTACTAAGTTTCTGTTTTGTGGTAGTTAAGGGTGGAATTTTATTTATCTTCGAAGAAGTAAATCAACTGTCGTTTTAATAAAYGACTCTTTAGAAGGAGATATTTCCTCGCCACCACAAAGATTTTCATAAAAAATAAACACTCAATCAGCTATCAATAACCTTTCTTGTTAGCCACGAAAAAGTAGTTCTCTTGTGAAGTTTTTATTGTACTTTTTTGTACATAGTTAGCTTATGACACTTTAGCACCATTAAGTTTTCAAATTTGTGACCCTGGCCGGCAAAATGAATGTGAATGAGCACAAACTGAACTGCAAAAACCATGAAAATATGGATTTTTTTTGTAAAAATAACCGTAAAGTAAATTCTCGTAACTAAAATAGCAGAAGGTTTCCTAATCAACCTTTTAAATTGAAGTTTTCCACCAGGTTTGATCATCTTTTTTTAATTCTAAAACTTGTAAATTTCTTTTAAAGTTAACCGTTTTTCTTTGTCAGCTGCTGTAATGCTGGGAAATCCCTTCTTTAATTTGCAGAACTTTGCAAAAAAAAAGTAAAAAAAAAAAAGGTTGATGGTTTTGCTCCCGACACGACCAGTACTCGAACCAGAATCCTCTGTATTATGAGACCCCTGCACCTCCAGTCTACCTCGGCCCCTCTGTTCTAGACCAACAATAAAACGAGTTTAAAACCAGCATGCCTGTAAATAAAACTAGCAAGGTAATAAATCACCAGATTTTAACATTTCAAGAATACTTTATTGATCCCAAAGGGAAATTAGATAAGTGTCATTTTAGCTTTTTAGTTGGGAGAATGTAAAAATGATGGCGATCTGTTGAAGAAGTCCTATTTTTGACTAATTTCGCCAGCATGGGTCACATTTTATGGAAAAAAATATAACTAACTGAATCAAGCGTGCCAATAAGGCACAGCTGTATAAAAATATTGATATATTATAAATAGATACACTTTAAATGACTTTTTTTTCTGTGCGGTTCGGTAAGAAATGATCCTTTATCCATTACTAGTCTTTGGCTTGGTGGTATGGTGGACCCCTTCTGAGTCAGAGGTTCCCAAAGTGGAGGTTGAGGCCCCACTTAAGTCATAAAACAAATATAAAGGGTCCTTGTCGTTTATATTATTGAATATTTTTTGTGCACTTGTTAGGTTGCGAGACACTTATTTCGTGTGAAACACCAAAAGGTGCAAATTCGTAGCTCAGATGAGCAGATAAGGACAAAAATAACACGTCTAGTTGAAAAAAAGTGATCATGTGCCTCTTATTTTGAAAAGATATCAAAATTAAGAGTTTTGTTTTTTCTTCTAAGGCTGCAGTTTCTGTTTGTTGAACGTCAGCTGCTACTTTAAGCTTGTGAACACTTTTAACTGTTGCATTTTATCTTCTGAGACGTGAAAGAACACGATGTGAAAGGGCTTTAATGTGGTTTATTAAAGAGATGTGGTGTCATTCTTTTTAGTCGACGAACAAACGTCTTTTTGTCAGCGACCTGGAAGACTGCACTTGTTTGGCGGAGCACTTTTAGGAATCATTTATCTCGGCAAAATCTTGTTTTCTGGTTGTTGTTTTTTTAGTGTTTGATTTATCGGTGCAAAATTTTTCCACCTCCTTAAGATTATTATATGTTTGTGAAAGGGTTAGTATTAACAGAACACAAGAGATTACTGTCGTTTTACTCAACTAGACGAACAGATCCTTAATGCACAAGTTTTTTTTTTTTTTTTTTGTGGTTTTATTCCAAAAAGCATGTAAGTATCTTTCAATGAGAAAACCTCAGGGAAAGGTCAAAAATCACACAGAGTATCATGTCCCTGCGAGGTTTATACACTGGGATACTGGAGCGTTTGTCACGAGAATGAAGATGAGCTGGCATCGGAAGAAGGAGTCAAATAGAACACATCCACAGAGATAATAAGACCCAGGCTGGACTAACTGAAAACAGACCAAAGAAGAAGAGGAGGAGGACAAATGGGGGGGGAAGGTGGCAGAAACAAACACTCTCTTTAGCTTTTTTTTATTTTTTTTTTCCATGTTGGAAAACAACATGAGGACAAGGAAAAATATTTGTGAGGACGACCGCGCTGCCACGAGAATCTGGACTTGTTTACTTTAATCTGCAGCTCATAAATTCAAAAATAAAAGTCAACAAAAAGTGTTAAAATCCTTCGTTCTGCAACCTGCGACTCTTCAGTTCGCTGTAGCTTTAACCAACACTAACATGCAAGCGAGTATTATTTCTAAACATGTTTTTTTTAATACAAGAAGCAAAACAAGTCATTTGTCAACAAAATAATAACATAATAAAAATATATCATGTCTGAGAACAAGAATGAAAAGAGTAGTTTTAAAAAACTTCTTATTAAAAGTTGTCATAATTAAATACTCAAGCTGTCCTGCGTTTTACAATCACTCTACTAATATTTTATCCTTTTATATGCTTTAATTTTTAATAGGATGCTTCCCTTATTAATCTTCCAAAAATATAGAAAAGATTCACTTTGTCTTTAAAAGTTCAGTTTTAAAATCTTATCAAAGTGGGTTTATAAACAATATTATTTCCATTTTCACATACATTAAATCTTTATATTTAAAACAACATATAAATGAACCATTTTATGAAGTATTTTAACACCTAAACACCTGTGCTCTTTRTTTTAAGCCTCACTTACATTTTATTTAATAGGAGAAGAAGCAGAAATCTCTTTATTACAAAGGTCCAAAGTCATTATGTTGTTTTTAGGAGGATATATCATATTTGTATGTGATGTAACACCTGCAGGTAAAAGAAAAAATGCACACAAATGTGACTTAATTTGCTCTCAGGCTCACATTCTGTCCTCGTATTTTATTTAGATAAATCCCAGTTACTTTATGAAAACGTTTGAAAGCTGAGACCACTAAGATTTATTTGACTCCGATAAAGGACAATCCGGGGTGACCTACGCTAAAAGAAGAATGAAAGTTTTCTTAGAAATGTCGACAGTTCAGTGATGCAGTTTCACACCATGTTGTTTGTTTTTCTCTTCATGAATTTTTCTTTTCTCTTTTCTTGACTTCTGGACAGTTTCCAATGCGGGGACAGAGCCAAGAAAAGTACAAAGGAAGGTAATTTTTGAAAACCAAACCTCCGTCTCTCTACGTGTCCTTTTCTCCCTTCTGCTTGTAGTGTTTCGGCTCATGTGTGACCTCTGCAGGTGATCTTATAAAGAAGGGCTTCAGCATTTATTTTTAAAAAAGGGTCCATGTTTAATCTTATTCTGAAGGAGAATACTAACGGTTTTCAAGCCGTCAGAACATTTCCGCCCAGTTTTCTGATTGGGAGATGACCCCGATGACAGGCGGTGGTCGGTCTGCTTCCCACTCCTTCCTCTCCCCAGAATAAAACCTTTCATTTGATCAGTCCAGCTCAGTGGAGGTCCGGTGGGCAGCTTCCGTCCACGTCAGGTGTTGTCCAGATGTGCTGCTGTTGGAGTCATCCTCGKGCTCCCACTAATCGCTCTGTTTGGAGGGAAGAGATAGAACAAGAACGTTTCTATCTGATCTCAGACAAGCTGACATGTTTTATTCCAATAAACAGGATATTGGATGTGGGGGAGAGACAAACCTGTGAATGTGAAATAAATGTGAGCAGACAAGTAATAATGCATGAAACCCACTTAACCAGATTGTGGGTTGACTGAAAAATCTCTTATCTTGATATGAATCCCCTCATTGTGCAAAACCTCTGTTCCTGCAGCTCGTAAAGAGCCCATTAGTGTGTAAATCTCTCCCTACTAAATAGAAATAATCAAATACTTAAGCAGAGAGGCTTTGATTTATCCATAGGTAATATATATTTTTTACCCTTCTCTATGCCTCTTGTCTATTTCGTCATTCCTTTCGTCTCACTCTCACCCAATCAGAACTAATCATTAAGATACCATATTGGCTCCTGCCAAGGAAATTAACGGCTTGATTGTGARGAACCAGAAGAGTTCAGCCCCACAGGTGTCCAGTCCAAGTGAAGAATCTTAGATAATTAATGTTGTAAAGTTCAGAGCAGAGTCCAGATCGGGTGTGGACTAATTACTGGAGAAGTGCGATGTTTGTGTGGGGAGAAGCGATCAGAGTGGATGATTGCCCTCCACCAGACAACCACAATAAACTGCACGACGGCAGAAAGAATCCCCGTCTCTGCGTCTCAGACTGGGGGGCTGCCCAGCCTCCACGGAGGGTCCGGCCACTGCCGCATTGTGGCCCCGGGCCTCATTTGAATAGCTCTTTAGTATTTTCTGTGAACAAGTCAGCGCCATTTGCATTTGTTCCAGTCACAAAGGTTTAACAGGTCAATAGGGACTCCCTGGCAGAAAACTAACATGCTAGGGTAACTGTTTTTGCCTCCCTCCCCGCCCTTGTGTCCCCTCCCTCGCCGTGGCAGTCACACGCCCAACCAGCTTGTCCCGGTGATATGTAACCCAAGCATGTGGCGTGTACGCATCTCATTCACAAGTGTGTGTCTGTGATGGGTGACAGCAGGGCGGAGGGTCAGAAAACAAGCTTACACTCTCCAGGCTGTACTGAAAAGTTTAATTAACACACATCTTATGGCAGCAGGTTGTCTGAGTGACTGAGGGGCTGGGYGGGGTTCTTCTGTATCTTAGACTTGTTTTCACACGCAGCAAGACAAGTAACTTGATTTACTTTTTTACAGTTCAGTTTATTTAGATAGCACCAGTTCACAACAAAAGTCATCTCAGGTACAAAAAAAAACATTGGCATGCAGTAAAAGTTCTCTAAAGAAACCAGAAGATTGTGTTGAATCTTCTGGTGACAGTGGGAAGGAATGACTCCCTTTTAACAGGAAGTAACTTTCAGTAGAACCGGGCTCAGGATGAACAGCCATCAAGGGTTAGAGAAGACAAAGGTGCTAATATAGGTGATAAATAGGTGATAAATTTGCTAATATGTAAGCTGCTAATCGACACATACAGGCTAATGTTAGCAAATGCAATGCTAATGTGCTAATTATTTTAGTTTAGCACATCCAAACTAAAGACGGTGTGTAGCAACTCTTTGATTATTGTTGATAGAAATTTTAAATACATGTTATATTTTTAAAGTTTGTAAATTACTAAGTACAATACAGTATTTTTACTTGGTACATAGGTACTAATAAGCTAATGCAAGCAAATAAGCTAAAGTTTTCCTAATCTTCCAATACAAAGTTGGTAGATGCATATAATGTTATCAATCATGTATAACTTTAGGTATCATATTAAGGGTCAAATGTAAGTTTTAATTTGAGTAAAGGTGATAATTTAAGAAATATGGACAAATAAGCTAGAGTGCTAATTTGTGTACAATGTAGCGTTGCAAAGCATAAGTAAGTACCATTTTTCTAATTAATGTTCTTTGAAAAACTCAAATGCCAGATTTTAAATTTCTGAGTWTATGTTTTACTTTAATGAAAGATGCTAATATAAGCTAATCTAGACAAACAACCTAAAGTGCTAAGGGCAGTATTTTAATGTRGCGTCCCGCAGCACAAAAAGTACAAGTTTTCTGTTTTATGCTCAAATAAAAGCTTTAGGATTGTCATGGATTTAAATTCCTATAAACAAAAGTGTCATAATTACTTTAATAAACAAAAGTAACAATTTAAGCTAATCAGAATATGAACTAAAGGGCTAAGTTTGCTAATATGCAACACTTTGGTGCTCGGCTAATTTTAGCCCAAGCAGTGGGTGGTTTTGTGCCAATAAACTGATTTAGGAAAATATTATATTAGAGAACTTAAAATGGTAAAATAACAAAGAGAAGTAGTATTATTCTATTAAATTCATGCTTAAAACATAAAAAAGGGTTATTGCACTACATTGTGTACCTTTTGTAATTGAGTCAGTCACGGCATTGCAGCAGGGTGAACAAATATTAATAAATATTTTCTGAAATTGAAAATCCTAAACACTTAACTCTTCAAAAGCACCAGATTTGTTGCTGCAGGTGCTCACAACAGACTACACACACGTTATATAGAATAAAACTGCTAAAAGTCTGACTTCCAGTAACATAAGCGTTTGCTTTTTTCAGAGCAATTTGATTTTTAGATGTAAGGATAATAAAATCAAGTTTGCTTTATTTGTATAACTGCTTTTGTAACAACAGTTTTACAACAAAATGACAAAAAATAGTTATTGTCCTAAAATTCTTATGCATTTTTTAATAAATGTTTTTGTAAATTATGACCAAAAACTGTTTTAATACAAGAAAATATCTGAAGCACAGAAGTTTGGTTGAAGAGGTGCTTGTTGCTCAGTCAGGTTTCATAAAATAGTTAATTTAAATTTCCTGATAGGTAAATTAAAGGCATGACTTTTGAGTAAAACTCATTTAAACAAGCCTAAGACAAGATCTCCCATGTCGAATATGGATACTGTTCTTTTGAACCAGATTTCAAAAACCTGAATTTAGATGAAGGCAGACAAATATATTCCAGTTCTTATGTACATAATATAAAAAAACCTCTTAGTGCCTTGGCTTTCAAATGTAAATTTAGCAGTAGATACAGCAGACAAAGTTACATGGTACACGTAATTAAATCCTGCTCTGGTTGTTTGGATATCTGTGTTGTTTTTCTGCAGCATTTGAGGCAAAAGTTAAATATATTTGTGACATCCTCAAGTCAAAGCCTCCTCAGGCTGAGAGTTTCCAGAGAGGCCGGGTCTGATCGTTTCTGTTGATCTGTCTGGACCTCCGCTCCATTATGCCTTTGCAGAGCAAAGTGGAAAGCAAAGCAGCCAGAGCCCAGCGTCAGGTGCTACAAGCTGCTAGCTAGGCCTGCAGCCAGGCCCGGAGAGCCAGACCTGGCAGCTCCCGGGCTGCGACGTGTGAAACGCTGCACACAATGAGGCTCACTCTATCTGTATGCATCCTACATAGACGGGCTTTTGTTGCAGCCAACAGGCACATGACTGCTAGCATCTTAACCCCTGAGAGCCAGCGTCTCTCTTTCTCCCTCTCACTAGACCGAGCAGAAACCACAATGAGTCGCTTCTTACAGGGAAAACACTTGATTTAAAAAAAAAACTTTGTGGTTCAGGTCAGATTTTTAGCCTCTTGAAGGTTAAAAATGAGGTCGGCTGTAAATAAGCGAGGACAAAACAAAGCAAAAATTGTCTCTCCGTGCGAAAATATGCAAAGGGATCATTTGCATAAGAAACAGGACAGGTTAGAGCTGCAGATTTATCATTTCACACATGTAGAGAGAGTTAAAATGGCGCCGGGAGATCCCCTTTTGTAAAGTCCACCCAGAGATAAATCAATATTATCCTCAGTGAACGGCTGCAGAGGCTGGGAGACGCTCTGATCTGTTGGTGCCGATTTTAATTCGGGCGTATTACACGGACGACCTTGAGCAGATGGTTTCATTGACACTGGTGGTGCTTTTCTTTTTTTCTGTTTTGGATTGATTTACTGAAACCCCGAGCGAAGAGCTAAAAAGATAAGAGCTAAACTCAGATGAGGACATATTGAAGGTTTATTGTGAATAAACTCAAGAGCTTTGTTGCCACGTGTTATGCAGACGCAAGTGTGTGTGTGTGTGTGTGTGTGTGTGTGTGTGTGTGTGTGTTGCTGCAGGACTCGTCCTCTATCAAATCAGTCTTCTTCCAGTTTGTTTTTCAAAATAATATAAGATGAAAAAAAAATGAAGGAAATATAAATAAAATATAAAAATCCTGATGGGCTTCACCAGCTTTTTCCTGGTGTGCTGCATTCAGGTCCCGGTGGGGGGGCCGGGGTGCAAAACGTTCCTATCCGGGCCGAGCCAGGTCAGGGGGCTCGTCCAGGCCGTGGTGGCTCTGTGACGCGTCATCAAACCAGAACCAACAGCCGGTCCGAGCCCTTTTTAAGAGGTGGTACCGCTCTGTGCGACGGTCAGAGAGACGCTGATGTTTGATAAGAGCTGAAATAATCAGTGGTCCATGTGGGACGGCTGGGAGTAGCTGGGAGTTAGAGGTGTGCTTTTTTTTTTTCTTTCCTTTTTTATGTGTTTACAGGATGAGGGGGGTAAGTGTGACACGTGGACGTTCTAAAATAAAAGCGTTTTCTTTTAATTAGCTTTTGGT